TTAACAAACTCCTGCCTATCGTGACTCGGCACAAAAATTTAAAATATTGGTTCCGTACGTCATGCGGACTGCGCCCCTCGTGCGGATGGGCGGGAATGGAGGGTAAAAACCGTTGGGATTATTATTATTATTACATGCCGCCAAAAGTACAAAGTTATGAAAAATCTGGGCTTATAATGTGGGTATTTTCAATTTGCTGTTGTGGAAAAAGATCGAGATAAGACATGTCTCATTACACCGTTTGGTGCCTACCGCTTCAAGCATATGCCTTTCGGCCCTCGCAACGCTCCGGCAACATTTCAACGCTTCATTGGCCGTTTTAAGACAACGTTACTAAATATTCAAAACCTTACGTATCTTGACGATATTATCATTTGCTCGCCTTCATTTTTAATCATTTAAAAGACCTGCACATCGTATTTGAGAAGCTTGAGAAGTTCAAACTGCGCGCTAATAATGCTAAATGCCGTTTTTGCTGCGCCAGTGTGAAGTACCTTGGACAGGTTCTCACAGCCGAGGGTATCAAAGTTGACACAGAGAAAACCATGGCAGAACGAAGAGCACCTCGAAACATTAAAAAACTGGTGTCTTTCATTCAAACTTGTTCGTGGTATCGGCGATTTATTGATCAGTACCCGAAAATTGCCTAGCCGCTTATAGACCTCACCAAAAAAAGTGCTGTTCGGCAATGGCGTGAACCGCAGATTGCAGCATAAAAGAAATGCTGGTGATTCCACCAATTCTGAAGCAAGCCGAAGATAACGCATATTTTATGATTAAAACTGATGCAAGCGCGTATGCACTAGGAGCAGTACTACTGCAGGGGGAGAGAGACCAGGAGCATCCTATTGAGTATGCAAGCCGTTTGTTAACTCAAGCTGAGCGTAACTACTCAACGACGGAACGAGCAGCACTTGCCATATTATGGTCATACACTAAGTTTAGACGGTACATTGAAGGCGCTGAAGTGCATCTAATGACGGAGCACCAACCGCTTAAATGGTTGCTAACCATGAAATCAACGTCTGGTCGCCTAGCAAGATAGGCGCTTCAAATCCAACAGTATAATTTTAAAATTGACTGTACGCCTGGGAAGAGTAACTCGGTAGCTGATATTCTCTCACGACCACCACTTCCCGAAAACAGCCATGGCACTCCGAGCTGTATTTGTACTTTCCAAGTGGACTTACCAAGAAAGAAGCCAAGCGAGTTGAGAAATGAGCAACTAAACGACGAAGATATGAAGAAAATAATAAATTCTATGTAAGGGAACGATGAAAACATCACTTTATGGTATAATCTTGAATGACGGTGTACTCTATTGCTATGCTAACGATGGCGCTGAAGACGCGCAATTGGTAATTCTTCATCAGGAACGCGCACAAATTTGGAAAACTTACGATGGCGAAGCACCATAGGTCATTACGGAGGGAAGAAAACAGTCGCACGAATCGCAAGCCTATACTTCAGGCCAGGGATGCGCACTGAAATCACCAAGTACGTACGAAACTGCATCGAGTGTCAACGCTACAATGCATCAAACATGAAGCCGATGGGTTCATTACAAACCACTTCAAGTAAGCAACGCTTCGAAGTAGTCGCTGTAGATCTGTTTCGTCCACTTCCCAAGACTGATGACGAATACCAATGGATACTCATAGCGGAAGATGTTGCTAGCCGATGGGTTTAAATATTTCCCTTGAAAGAAGGAACTGCTGAAATGTATGCTAAAACGTTAATAAACGCGTTGTTTTCCGATTTGTGGTTCCCAGGCGGCTTGAATTCGGCAATACCGTTCAATTTGTATCGTTGGTCATGCAACAAATTGCATATCAAGGAGCGTTTTCCTGGTAACGCATGAAACGAAGGTAGTGGGGGTGCGAAAACCGCGAGTAGTCAGCAAGCAAACAGCAAACAAGTATAGAGCGAATGTGTTGGGTCGCTATAGATACACGTACGTAGGTTGATGTCCACAAGAAAAACAAAACGATGTATCCCGCCGGAGTGAAGGTTTAGTAGTGATTTATTGAACTATGTTTTACCAAAGTATACAAGTCGTAGAAATATACATGGGTAGCGAAACTAACAACATAAGAACATAATGATGTGCGCTGTGCTGTGTATGTGAGTGTGTATACATATGTGTGCACTTATAATGCAAATGCATATTGAGTGAAATTATAATGTGAGAGCGTAATACTAATTATTATCCGGAGTGTAGCCGGACATTCCTAGGTTGATCAAACATCCCGGTCCTGTTGAAAGAACCCTCTTTTAAGAAGAAGGAAGAATCGCTAGCGTATGTATGGGCCTGCAACAGGTTCCATTTGCTGTTCGAAGGTTTACCACCCTAACGTGACCATCTCGTCCAAGCACTGTAGATTCAACGCGCCCAAGCTTCCAGCGTTGTGGTGGTAGATGATCATCATGGATGATGACAAATGTACCCTCTGTCAAGTTAGGAGCAGGTGATCTCCATTACACGCGCGCACCTAGGTCGCTGAAGTAGTCTGCAGACCAGCGGCGCCAAAATCTTTGCTTTATGACAGTGATTATGTTGTAGCGATCTAGATTTAAGATGCTTGTGTCTGCCAGCGAGCGTTCAGGTAGGGCACGCAGTGCTTCACCAACCAATAAATGATCAGCCGTGAGTGCGCCGAAATCATTCGGGACAGACTACAACGGAGTTAGCGGGCGAGAGTTGAGTATGGCCTCTATTTCTACCACCACGGTGCTCAGTTCTTCATAAGTTAGTCTTGTGTTGGCTAAGATGCGATAGAGGTGACCCTTTGCGCTCTTGACAGCTGCTTCCCAAAGACTGAAGAAATCTGAAGAACAACATTTATAAATTCCTTGTTGTGTCTCCTTGTTAAACAAAAATTGTCTAAGCTATTTCAAATGGTTGGAGGCTCCAACAAAATTCGGTGCATTATCACAAAAGATGTCATTTGGCATTTTTCGACGGCCGCCCATACGCTTTAAGGCATTCAAAAATGACTCTGTTGACAAATCCGATACTACCTCGAGATGTACTGCTTTAGTCAGCAAACACACAAATACAGCTAAGTATGACTTAGTGGGTGCCTTTCCTCGAATTCGCAAGTAGGTGTTTATGGGCCCACAGAAATCAATTCCACATTGTTGGAACGGACGTGCAGGTGTTAACCACGTAGCTGGGAGCGGTCCCATGACCTGTTGCAGCAGTTTCGGTCTGTATCGAACACAATGCTCGCACGTACGAACTATGCGACGAGCTACGTCTCTAGCGTTGACGATCCAGTAATTGTTACGAATTAATTCTACCAGTGCCTTAGGGCCTGCATGATAATTGCGTAGATGAAGATGTAGTACATATGTGGATACAAACTGTGAGTTGCTGGGCAGCAAAATATGGTGCCTTTGAGTATCTGGTAAATCGGCGTAGTCCAAGCGTCCACCAGCTTTAATGAGTTCAAATCCGGTTGAGTAATCTACGAATGGAGTTAAAAATTTCAAGTTGCTTTTTAGTGGTTGATTTTTACGAATCAAAGGTAGATCTTCAGCAAAGTGTTGCTGTTGAATGTTCCAAATGATGGAGTTCGAAGCATGGCGTAATTCATCGGATGAGGGTGAAGATATAAGCTGATATTTTCGATGATGTCAAGTATGTATTTTTTTGTTTTTATTGCAACAAATAGTTGTTTACGTTTCTCTGCGTTGGCCACTTCCTTATTTAAATCATTTTCACCCTTATTTGTTGGCCATTTCGTTATATCCTTACGCAGATATAGTGGACCTGAAAACCAGATGGACGATTTAAGTTCAGCGACAGTACAACCTCGCGATACAAGATCAGCCGGGTTTTCCTGTGTTGGTACGAATCTCCATCGACCATCTGATGTTAGTTCTTGAATATCTGCCACCCTGTTGCCAATAAATGTTGGTAGTGTGGCCGAATACTGTTTTAACCAATGTAACACTAGCTGCGAATCAGACCAAAAATAGGCCATAATGGGTCTATTGTTGAAAATATGCTTTATTTTGGCATACAGTTGAGCGAGAAGATGAGCGCCGCAAAGTTCTAGTTTCGGAAGTGATTGCTTTTTGACAGGGGCAACTCTTGACTTCGATGTAAGCAGATGAACGGCGATTTGTCCACCGGAGTCTTCCGTGCGCACATACAACGGACATCCATATGCTCGAATTGATGCATCACAAAACCCGTGTAATTGTAGGTTACAAGCGTTCGGTTGTAAACAGTAGCGAGGCACAGTGAGAGATGCAAGTGAAATAAATGATGCTAAACAATTGTTCCATGCGTGTGGTAGGTGCTGCGGTACGCTTATCCCATCATAATTCCTGAAGAATTATTTTTGGAGTAATTACGAGTGGCGATAACAATCCAAGGGGGTTAAAAAGCGATGATGCGATAGACAAAATTGTTCGCTTTGTGACAGATGTGTATTTTTTCTTGGGCGTGTACGTGAACAAGAACATGTCATGGTTCTGTTGCCATGGAACCCCAAGCGCGCTAGTAACAAAATCGTCGGTCAAATTGAGCTCTTTTGTAGATTGAGTCTCCATGAAATCTGGGTGGTTAGAACGCCATTTTGCCAATGGAAAGTTACCGCGTTTCAGCACCTGGATTACTTGGGACTTTAACTTTTTCAAGGCAGCAATGTCGTCAGCGCCACACAGTTGATCGTCAACATAAAAAGAAGACTTCACAGCCAACGCGTCGATTGGGTACTCATCCATGCACTGGTCTGCTAAATACTGAAGACTGCGTACTGGACCTGGGGCGGTTCCATATGTCACCGGGTTGAGTTGGTATGTGCGGAGATCTAAATTTGGAGAAGCTCGCCAAAGAATGTATTGAAATATGCGATCATTAGAACTTACGAGTACTTGCCTGTACATTTTGGTGACGTCGGCTGTGATTGCGTACCGATACAATCAAAATCGCAACAGCAGTATATACAGCTCTCGCTGGATTGTAGTCCCTACCAATAGCATATCGTTTAGCGACGTTTGCGTTGTTGTGCGATTATAGGCATCAAACACAACTCGTAGTTTCGTTGATACGCTTCTGGGCTTAAGCACATAATGATGTGGAATGTAGAAGTGGTCAAGTCTGGTGATGTAACGACGGACACATGGCCAAGACCTTCATATTCTTCCATAAATGAGACATATTGCGCGCGAATCTCGGGCGAATTCAAAAGACGTCTTTCCATGGTAAGAAATCGACGCCGGGCGATGTCAAACGAGTTTCCTAAAGTGTCCGGGCTGTCTCTGAATGGCAGGCTCACGACTATGCGTCCGGTGATATCTTGTTGTACCGTAGCTGCGAAGTGGTCTTCACAAATGCGATGTTCGGGTAGCATCGGTTTCGCTGACCTTTCAATAGTGTCCAACTTCCATAAGCGTTGCAGGTGTTCGTCGATAGAGCTTTCATTAGACAATAGATAGGACAGAGGTACTGAATGAAGTTTATGACTGTATTTGCCGGAGACGACCCAACCTAAAAGTGTTTTCTGGAGAGTAGGCAAATTGGGTCCTAGTCGGATTTGGCCCACAGCAAGCGCGTCGAAGAATGCTTCTGTGCCAAGCAACAAATCGATGCGTCGAGGTTTTAAAAATTGTTCCTCTGCCAATTTTGTATTGGCAGGTAAATTCCAAGTTGATGTGTCGATTTCAGAGTTCGGTTGATATGCGATATGCGACGTGTTACCAAACTGCAACGAAAGTGTAAGCGATGAAGTGCGCGACGTGATGGTAGTAGTTGTGCGCGCTTTAAGGTTAGTTTGGGATTCACCAATGCTACAGATCCCAATGTGATATTTCTCACGACGGAGGCGAAGTTTTTGAGCGAAGTCGTCAGTGATGAAATTCACTTGCGAGCACGAATCAAGTAAGGCTCTGCCAAGCCTGTATGCACCTGTGGAGTCTTTGACGAGTATCATAGCCGTTGCAAGTATAACTTGACTGCCTTTCGACGATTCCATATATATGTGTTGCTGGTTGAGATGGTTGTGAGGCGCTGTATGTTTGTAGTCTATCAGACGACACAGTTGACTGTAACGTTGCCTCATTATTGCAAGCAGGTCGTGCGGAATACGAAGGGTGTAGTGACGAAGATTTTGTTTGTGGTGTCGCTATGACTTGAGAAGCGTTTTCATGATGCAACATCGTATGATGAGTGCGATTGCAGCTGCGGCAGCGATTTTTTGATGAGCATTGAGCCATCCGGTGGCCACGGCTAAAGCAGTTAATACACAGGTCAAACCTTTTAGTGGTATCGAAGCGTTGGTTTGTGTTCATTTTGTTGAATTGGGGGCACCCAATGATCCTATGCTTGGAGCTTGAGAAAAGCACACAACGAGAATTCGTAATAGCAAATGAGGAACTTTGACCATAATTGGCAGAACGATTGTGCCTGCCGTACTCGGGTTTGCGCTGCAATGACGATTCCGACGAGTGCAAGTACTGGCAGTGACGTTCCAAAACTTCTGTACATTGGGACCATGTTGGGAGGGATTTATAGTCAAGCGCTTCGTTCCATTTGTTGCGAGTTTTCTGGTCTCATTTGCTAATTACGATGTAGATAAGAATTGCCTGTGCGATATTGGTGCTTGTACCTAATAACTCTAACGAGCTGAAAATAGCTGAAGCCTTGTCTAATAAACTTCGCAACTGCTGAGGGCTTGATTTATCAACTGATTGTAACGTAAAGAGAGAGACAATACCTTCTAGAAATATCAACGTTGGGTTATCAAAGCGTTCTTTAAGCCCATCTAGAGCCTTCGGGTAATTATCGCTGGTGACTTGAAATGCTTTGACGGCTTCTAGTGCCGAACCCTTCAAGCAAGTTAACAAATAATTAAATCTTTCAATATTGGATAGTCTAGGCTCACGAGCAATGGTTTGAGTAAAGGAAGTTATGAAGTTTCTGTAATCAGCGTAGTTTCCACGGAATGTAGGCAGCGACAATCTTGGAAGATCTGAGATTATAGGTGCGGAAGCTGGTGGAGCCGCCTCAGTATAATTCACCGTGCTGTTCATATCCTCTCCAAGTTGTGCTCGGATACTAAGTTTCACTGCGACATAGCTATCATCTAAATCAGCGCGACCATTGTCTGTTGGGTCAAGATCTTCTATGTCAGCTTCCACAGACAAGGCTTGCTTGAAGTCGGATTCTTGTATTCTTAAACGACACTGTAACTCGGAGTGACATGGCTTATCATCGGAATCTTTACTAACATCAACAATCGATTTGATGCGCGAAATGTTGCGCTTTATGTTCGCACGCTTACGTTTGCATTCTTCCAAAGACATGACTGGCTAACGCGATTGCTTGCTGGGTTGACAAATAAGCGACGGAGTTGACGACAGGTAAACCGTAGAGCCTGCAGCGACAGCGAAACAAACTCAAAAATAATAGCAGCACAACTGAGACAAATAAATGCAAAGGGCAAAACCACAGGAGAAGAGCGACGGCAGAAGCGCAGAAACTTCAGCTGGCAGAAGCGCAGTAACTTCAGCTGGCAGAGCAACAGTCAGGTGATACGAATGCAACGAATGTACAACGGCGTACGCGAGCGCATGCAAAATCAAATCAGCAATGTACCAACAGAAGTTTGGAGTGGCAGCGAATGTGCGTATGGTAATGCGAAAATAAAGCAGCACCGATAAACGGTTTTATACATACACTTTCCAATGAGCGGTGAATTTTGGTTGTACAGCAGCAACCGAAAATGTAAGTTGCTCGTCTGACTAACGACAATTGAAAATAGCGAAGTGACGATAATTGTACTCTATGCCAACGGCATCCACACCTGGAAGTTACCTGCCAGCGTTGATGACCAAACAACTGAAACTGTAACCGTAAAACTTTGATGTTCGTACTGCTAACGAAACACTAATATTCTATGTGGTATTTAGTTATAACCTTTTGTTTAAATAGAGCGTAGATAAGTAGATATATTGACTTATAGGTTTTATTGCACACGAGCCCCACGTTGGGCGCAAAAAATGTTGAACCAAGGAGCGTTTTCCTCGTAACGCATGAAACGAAGGTAGTGGGGGTGTGAAAACGGCGAGTAGTCAGCAAGCAAACAGCAAACAAGTATAGAGCGAATGTCTTGGGTCACTATAGATGCACGTACAACGTAGGTTGATGTCCGCAAGAAAAACAAAAGGATGTATCCCGCCGGAGTGAAGGTTTAGTAGTGATTTATTGAACTATGTTTTACCAAAGTACAAGTCGTAGAAAGATACATAGGTAGCGAAACTAACTAAATATGAGAACGAGCATAACACCCGATTTACGTGATTCAAGTACTTGAATGCAATTCTTGCTCATGCTCTTTTGTGTTTTCTATTTGCTTTTACACGTTTCAATTCTGTTGAATTCAAGTTTTTGGTTCTTTAAATGGGAAGCAACGAAAATACTAAAAGCAAAGCAAGAAAATTGAAACGACTTGACGGTACAGACGCATGTGTACTCGTCCCTTTTCTTCTCACCTCCTCTCTTCCACATGCGAGCAGAATTGAATTCAGTACTTGAACTGTGTAAAAGCAGTCTAATGATGCGTGCTGTGCTGTGTATGTGAGTGTGTATACATATGTGTGCACTTATAATGTAAGTGCATATTGAGTGAAATTATGATGTGAGAGCGTAATACTAATCATTATCCGGAGTGTAGGCGGACATTACTAGGGTGATCCAACACTGTATGGGCATTATTCGGGTATTTACTCCCGTATATCACCCTGAAGCGAATCCAGTAGAGCGCAAAATCAGAGATCTCAAAGCTCCGTTAGCTATTCTAGTCCAAAATCAACATAATGTTTGGGATATTGGTATACCCGCTATTGGCTTTGCAATGAATTCTGCTAAATGTCAATCGACAGGCTACTCAGCAGCATACCTAACTTTCGGACGAGAGCTATGCACTTTTGACGATATAGAGAATGATGTTCGAGCCATTATCGAAAGTGATAACTTCATTACTCAAATTACACCATATCTGAAGAACATGGTAGAAGGTTTAAAGAATATGAGAGAGGCAGAATAATTGATGCAAGACCGTAATAAAGCTTACGCCGACAAAAAACACCAAAGACCTCAAGACGATATAGCAGTAGAAGCCGAGGTTTTATTGACATCGTATGTACTCAGCCTAGCCTCGAAAGGAGTCACAGCTAAATTTGTGCCGAAACGAGATGGCCCGCACCTAGTCATTCGCAAGAGACGTACCTCAACTTATCAAGTCGCGTCCAAAGCTGAACCTGACGTACCACTTGGAGCTTACCACGCCTCCGCTCTGACCCTGTATAGAGGTAGGAATACTGAAGAAAATCCGAATCCTGTGCAAGAGAGGGAGACCACCGAATAACTGGTTGACGCCTGACTCGTGCTTACACTCATCATTCGTCAAGGGGGAGACTGTAGTATACGTATATATTAATAAACATGTTAACATCTAAAAAAACAATATTGAACATAAACGGAAATATGTGTTATTTTGTATTTTTATATATTAAAAACTAAATGTATTTGGCCAAACGGATTAAATTGTAGTCCACAGCTTACTGTCCACTATGTAACTTAATATCCACAACTTTTGCAATTCATATTCCACATAGCTGGTCTTTCGCTTATAAAAGCGCGTGCTCCTCTGAGGAGGTACGCTTAACTAAGTAGTTAAAGGTCTTATTGCTATTTGGAAGATGAACAGCGCAAAGCTCCAGTGGAATTCTGACAATCGCTACGCTAAACTTTCTTCGCCAAATTAATGATACATACGCCTTCTAAGCACGCAGGGTTGCATTTGAGAAACAAAAAATAATTAACGCAAATAGTTTTAAAAGATGGAAGATACGCTTCGAGCGTTCTTGACGTGCGCTCTATCCGAGGTGCCAGCATCGACTCGGATCACTACCTTGTTGCAGCTAAGGTCCGCATGCGCCTCTGCGCAATAAAAAACGTGCGGCAGGCAACGCGACGAAAGTTCGACATCGCAAAGCTGCAGTCACAATGGACAACCGAAAAATTTAGCAACCGACTCTCAATCCTGCTTAATCAAGCAACTCCTCATCGCCTGGACATAAATGAGCAGTGGGACTCCATATCCCAATCCCTTCGCACCGCTGCGGAAGAGGTTGTTGGTTACTACAAACCGCGCAGAAACAACTGGTACGACGAAGAGTGCCGCACGGCTGCTGCAGAAAAATACGTAGCATACAAAGCTACCCTTCAGCCAATGGCGACATGCGCGACAATTGAGCGTTACCGGGAGAAAAGGAGGGAAGAGAGACGCCTTTTCAAGAGAAAGAAAACAGAGGCAGAAAGGCGTGAGTGCAAAGAGCTTGAGATGCTGGCGGACAGGAACGCGGCTCAAAAATTCTATCAGAAAATAAGGCAGCAATCAAATGGTTTTAAGACCGGGGCTAGCTCCTGCAAAGATGAAGATGGAAACCTGG